AATTGGATACACCGGAAATTTTCTAAATTTCTTCCGGTTTAAGGACGCTTGTTATTGTTTACATTTGACCACCCATCCATAAGACTTTCGGGTTATTACGATTTCTGATTTTTACGCCCAAAGTGGTTAAGGTACGCTATAGCTTTTATAGTTTATTTCTTTACTTGTACTGTTTACAATATAACGCCTTCTTTCATCTTAAATATCAACAAAACAAACAACAAAAGATTTCGAAAGACTCCGCAAGCCCGCTTTGTTGAAACCTAAAAAATAACAGTGATATTTTTCGAAAATATAGCCAAATGAGAGATAACATTTAAAATATGGCAAACCTAGCCTTTTCATGCCATAATTTTAATTTGTTTAACATTTTTTTAGGCTTACAACTAGTTAAAATTTTTAAATTACCGAAGACTCTTATAAATGATAAATTGCGCGCTTATTCCTAGAATATTAAAAATTTTCACACATCGCATACGAAGCATAACATAAGCGAAGGGATTCACCGGAAGTTTTCTAAATTTTTTTCGGGCTGAGGAAGCTTGTTATTTTTACATTTCCATAAATGCGGTTTTTTTCTTTATAACTGTAACCCCCAAGACCTTCATGGAAGGTTTTGATTGTTGATTCCGAAACGTAAACATTAAATCTGGTAACATTTATGTATCTTTATTCTTTAAATGAAATACTGACATAATTTTTAAAGTAATTTACAATAAACAATTAATTACCTCACTATATATTTTGCTTTGTTGCATTTGTCAATCATAAATAACACCTTATTTAAATTTCTTTAATGTTAATTTGTAAACATTTAAATACTTTTTCTAACTGTATTTTGTCTATAATTTGCCTGCTTAATTTTACATTTCTCCTCTTTTGATTCTTGGTTATTTACATCGTTTTGACTTAAAAATTTGAGCTAAAATTGAAATGTAATGAAAATTGGATGTCAACTAAGCATCCAATTTTTCATGATAATCTATTCGTAATTTATTTTGGAACTCGTGATAGTTTTCAGTTTATGTAATAATAAGGTATAGTTTCTCTTTAAATTGAATCCTACTGCTTTTTGACCCTATTTAAAGATGAATTATTCTTCAATATATAACCCCAACGTTACCTATCAATACACAAATTCTGATACTTGCTTGAAATCTTAAAGATGAAGGAAAGTATTCAGTTGAAAACAAACAATTTATAATTAAATGTTATGAAGACTAAGTAAATTTGAAAATTTATACAATGTTTCTCATTATTAGATTTTGAGTATTTATTTTATTATTGGTTGTGGTATAATCAGATCATGGTTATTTGTCCACAATCATGGTTTTCATAAACGTTTTTTTCTTTCTTGTTTACGAAATCTTTGGGGGAGATTTCCGTATCATGATCTGTAGCAGAATAAATGGCAAGTCTTGGAAACTTCCGGGCAGTGGCCCCTGAGAAACTAAAAAAATCATCACAGCTAATTCGAAAGGTATAACTCTTAGCCACCCCTGGGCAAACATCTACATAAATTTTATTGTTTTTAAATTTGCATGTTTGAAATCTATTTGGCACCTTGGCGATTGTAGTTGACGCAACAGATCCTGATACGGAAATATCCCCAAATCTTTTAGATCAAATCCAGCTGTGATTTGTTATTTTTTATTAGAATAATATAAAAGTAGCTGGATGTAAAAGACAAAAGATAACATATTCTTTAAAACTTGTCTAGTTGACCTCTATTATCAAGATTAAATTAAATATATGATAATAGGGTGCAAAATCTGACCAAAGCAAGGAAGCCATCCCCTCTGCAGAGGATCAAAATTTTGATGGCATGTCTTCGGATCATCCTCAGGGATGCTTTCCAGACTGTCGCCAATAGCACATTGTGCAGCTCTAGTGCAACGTAAATAAAGTATTTTCCTTCCTTTTATTGTAGGTACTGATATTCTTCTCAAATGCTAAATCCAGACATTAATAATAATCTCACGTCTGATGATCACAACTGATCTCACTGATACACATCTTTGTGAATTTACCACATGGGAAAATTATGAAAGGGCTTTTTTAACAAATTGGTGAAATGCAATCAAAATAATGTTAAGTTTTCTAGCTGCAAATAGTATAAATGTTTTTATATTTTGCTATTTCAAGAAATAATTTTTAATTAACAAATTGTATGCATTACTAACTGCAAACAGTCTCTTGGAAAATATTTTTTAAAAATAAATCAGTGTAGGAGAGTTTCGAGATAAGGGATGCATATTTTCACAAGTAAAAATTTGCACTATTCACTTTTAAAACTTTATCTTCTTTTTTTTCTTCCTGACATCACATTAAAATTAAAAGATGTGAGGACTAACACTGGTTATATAGTGCAGGGGTGGCAAACCTTTATACACCAACTTGCCATTTTTTCTAAAAAAAAAATTTTATGAGGTCATAGACGTGCCGTTAAATAATTTTGACTTCGTGATTATTGGGAAAATAATAATACGAAATGCTATCAACTCAAACTCATTTACATTGAAAAAAAATACATTTTGCCATGTCTTAAAACAACTTAAAGTAACATCAGTGTAACTTCTGTTGCTGCAGATTCGATGACAAATAACTTATATTAGGTTGTAAGATGTTAGTTTAAGCAGGACTGTTAATTTTTTTTTGCTAGTTATTTATTGTTAGCTTGCTTTTTATGCTTATTAATTGTTTTTTTAGCATTAATTTTTATTTTTTTTATTAATAATTTCTTATTATTTTTTTTGTTTTTGTGAATTTTAATTTATCATAATGTAATAACATTTGTGTAATAATAATTCATAGTGTAATAACAATTGTGATTGGTGGCGTGCCCAAAATATTGTGTCTCGTGCCATTGGTTCGCCATCCCTGATATAGTGGGCCAATTACTTGGAAATTTTAATCACATCTTTTTTAATGTGCATGTACACTGTTATACAGATCTTAAATTCTAATTATCAGTTATTTGAAAGTGAGGTTCACATTCATATTCTATCTTAAGAGATTATTACAAATAAAATTTACTAGCTGTAACTAGTTCACGAAAAATAAGGCTTATTCGTTTTGGGATTATTATTAATGTTTAATTAATGGCAATGACCGGTGTTATCTATATTGTGTTAAAAGTACCTTGAAACTCTGGAATGCTTGACAGTTTGGAAAGTTCCGATTTCAGAAACTAGTGAATTGTAGATATCGTACTTTAAAGCCAGTAGAAATATCAAAAGTTTTGGGTCTAAAAAAAATTTTTAAAAATTATGTTTGATTCTGTCATGAATAAACATTGTTTTTTTTTTCTTTTTTTTGTTTGGTTTCAATTCTACAGTTAACTAGAGGATTAACTGTGATTAAATCTATTTATTTTCGTGTGTGTGTGTTTCTTTTTGTTGTTGTTTTTTTCAATAATTATTGTTTCAGATTTCCTTGTGGTTTTTAAAAGTGATTTTTTTTAAATATAATTTTTTTTAAATATAATATTACAATACACAAATTTCCTCATTTTCCCTGAAATTTGAAATTCTTAATGTGTTTCTTGTCATGAGTTGAACAAAATTGTCCTAATCTTAGAGGCCTGGACTTTCAATGTTATACTGTATTTTTCTAGGTATATACATACTCAGTGATAGTAATTAGGTAGATAAATACCGTTAAATATAAAGTTTTTGATATTTTTAATAGTAAAAATTAAACTGAAATCTTCAATTACGTTGATAGATTAATTATTTCTATAAAAAGGATAAGCAATCAAAATGTTTGTCTATAACTTAATTTGTTGAACATTCTTTTTTCTGAAACTAAATTGATTTTATCTAGAATTTAAAAAAAAAAAAAAAATATTTTTAATTGTTTTTACTATTTTCTATTGCATGTTCTACTAAATGATAGAGTTTTGTATTAATATCTTAATTTTCAAGCAAAATATTGTGGTTATGTGAAACTGATATTTTAGAATATTTGTTACCATTGAAATAAGTTTAATGCTAAAATATTATTCCAAACTTCTGAACAATGAATGCATGTTTTAGAAAATAGTTTATATTTATACATTTTGTTTTAATGATTTGTGTATTTTTTCAGATAAAAAATGTCACACCCTTTTTGGAAATCTAACTTACATAAAACATTTCTACCTTGGCTTATACAAAGGGGTAAATATTTAGAAATAAATTTCTGTTATTTACTAATTAATGTAACGAGGCAATAAGTATCTCATATCAATATAAAACTAAAAAATAATAATTTATAATTTTATTATTTGGCTTGTAAAAATATATTCTTTATTAAAAAATCCATTGAAAAATAGTTTTAGCATATTATGTAAAAAATGTTTTCAGTATTCTTTGGTTATGAAAATTAGTATGTTATTTGTAATTATTAATACATTATGTAATTTGGATTGTGTAATTTGGATTTGTAGTCAAATACAATAGTATATAATTTGATTATGATTAAATTAAGTTCTACTAAGCTTCATTACGTAAAACCTTGAAAGATAACATATATTTTTTGTTTGTTTGAGAAAAAAAAATGTCATGCAATCATAAATAATTGGGGAAAAAAATATGTTTCTGAGTGCAATCATCAAATTAAAAGTGTGTGGCAACATTTTAAACAAAAAGATCATTAATTAATGAATTTGATTCAAAATGGTACATAGTTTTCTTATTTTTTAAAAAATATGTTCTATGTATTATTATTTATTTCTGTGATTTTTCTACTTTTTTTCTATTTTATGCTTCTTTTTTTTATTTATGAGAATTTTATCTCTCCTGGAATATGAAATTGCTTTAAATTTGTATTTATTTCTAATATTCATAGCAAGTTTATTTAAAAGCAGAGTTAATTATTATATTATAGAACAGAGCTAATTATTGTATTATTAATTTAAGTCATGAATTATTAATTCAATAAAATTATTTGGCTATTTTTCAAATTGGTTTTGTTTGTAAAATACAAATGGAAATATTTTCTGTTATTCTGTCTCTAAGTAAATTATTAAAAAAAATTTCTAATTAAGCCTTCCTTTTTTTAACTCGACCTTCATTACAAATTGCATCATATTTTTTTAGCAAAGAATGTTACTGCAGTGCAAGCAAAACCAAAGAAATTAGAAGTTTTCATTGATGACAAGCTTGTCCTTGTAGATCCTGGTACTACTGTACTGCAAGTATGTTTTGTTCTTCTGTTGCTATATTACTTTGAAAAAAATTATGTAAAAAGTTTAGTGTTGAAATCATTGATTCATCTCTGACTTCTTTTTTTTTTCTATTTACAATCCTAAATGATGTTGAATTCCTAATTCTGTTAAGTCTGATGTTTATCATGAAAGGCTCCTTTATATTAAATTTTTTAGGAATTTTTTTTTCAGTGAAACTTCCTATTGTACTGGTTAATATAAATTATTGTTCTATATATTATTGTTCTGCTGTCAATTTTTTGGGGTAATTTTTTCTTTTATCTAAAAAAAGAACTATCAACAAATTATTTGATGCTACCAAAATTTCTTTAGTCATTTTCAAAGTGCGGAGAAGTTATCCATTTTGAAGAAATTATTTCATATGGCCTATATTTTTGAAAAATTTTATCTTAACTATTAGCAGAGTTTATCTTAAAAGCATAGCAAAAACAAAAACTGCTACATTTCCCATTTTTTAGATTGCAATTCAGAGGAAGAAAAGAAACTTGTGTTTTCATAAAATAAAACAATCTAATAAAAATTGGTTTTGACTTTTAATTTCAATTTTTAATAAATCATGTACGTTTAGTATTTTACTTATTTGTTTGATATATTTAACTTAATTTAGTGAACTTGGTGATTAATTAGATAGTTATGTTATATAATTAAAAAAAAAGACTTCAAAAATTTTTTTAATTTTTTTTAAACATTTTTAAGTTGATAGCTAAGTAATTCATATTTTTTAATTAATAGATTTTGCTATATTTTTTGATAATATATACCTTAAACATTTAAATGTTTGATATAAGTATTTTTAAAATATATATTAGCTAAGAATTCAAAAGATTTTAGAATTATCTATTTCAAATAGTGTTGTTACTTTTATCAGACTACTTTCNTGCAATACTAATGTCCAGTATCTAGAAATCACTTTGCATGAATAAAAATATTGTAGTAAAAAATATGTATTTCCTAGCGTATTCGTTACATCTTTCCAGCTCAAACATTTTCGCCATTTTCAATCACGTTCAAAAAGCGGGCATCCAAGCAGTTGGCGATAGATTTCGTTTGGCAATCACCCATTTCAGCTGATCGCCAAAGTTTAGGGTTATAAGAGGGCGGTCAGCCAAGACAGTGCGGGTTTAGGAAGCTTATTATTTTTACATTCACTCTACCTTTCATAAATGCGGTTTTTTTCCTTATAACTGTAACCCCCAAGACCTTCATGGAAGGTTTTGATTGTTGATTCCGAAACGTAAACATTAAATCTGGTAACATTTATGCATCCTTATTCTTTAAATGATTTGCTGACATAATTTTTAAAGTAATTTACAATAAGCATTTAATAACCACACTCTATATTTTGCTACGTTAATTTTGTCAATCATAAATAACACCTTATTTAAATTTCCTTAATGTTATTTTGTAAACATTTAAATACTTTTTCTAAATGTATTTAGTCTAAAATTTGCCTGCTTAGTTTTACATTTCTCCTCTTTTGTTTCTTGGTTATTTACATCATTTTGTCTTTAAAATTTGAGCTAAAATTGAAATGTAATGAAAATTGGATGTCAATTAAGCATCCAATTATTCATGATAATCTATTCTCAATTCATTTTGGAACTCTTGATATTTTCAGTTTTATGTGATAAAAAGGCATAGTTTCTCTTTAAATTGAATCTTAATGCTTTTTGACCCTATTTAAAGATAAATTATTCTTCAGTATATAACCCCAACGTTACCTATCAATACGCAAATTCTGATACTTGCTTGAAATTTTAAAGGTGAAGGAAAGTATTCATTATTCAGTTGATAACAAACAATTTATAATTAAGTGTTATGAAGAATAAGTAAATTTGAAAATTTATGCACTGTTTCTCATCATTAGATTTTGAGAATTTATTTCATTATTGGTTGTGGTATAATCAGATCATGATTATTTGTCCGCAATCATGGTTTTCATAAACGTTTTTTTCTTTCTTGTTTACGAAAACTTTGGGTAGATTTCCGTATCATGATCTGTGGCAGAATAATCACCAAGTCTTGGAAACTTCCGGGCAGTGGCCCGCGAGAAACTAAAGAAAAAACTCACGGAAAGGGGCTAATTCGAAAGGTGTAACTCATAGCCACCCCTGGGCAAACATCTACATGTTGTTGTTTTTTTTTAAAATTTGCAAGTTTTAAATCTATTTGGCAGCTTGGCGATTGTAGTTGATGTGACAGATCACGATACGGAAATATCCCCAAATTTTTTAGATCAAATCCTGCTGTGATTTGTTATTTTTTATTAGAATAATATAAAAGTAGCTAGATGTAAAAGACAAAAAATTACATATTCTGCAAAACTTGTGTAGTTGACCTCTATTATCAAGAACTGAATATATCTTATATGATAATAAGATGCAAAATCTGACCAAAGTAGAGGAGCCTACCTCTATTTGCTAAGGATCAAAATTGTGGTGGCATGTCTTCGGATCATCCTCAGGGATGCTCCAGAGACTGTCTCCAATAGCCCATTGTGCAGCTCTATTACGACGTAAATAAAATATTTACCTTCCTTTAATCGTAGGTGCAGATATTCTTTCCAAATGCTAAATCCAGTTGACTGAAAAACAAAACAAGAAATTGAGGAAATTTTTCATGCATTTATGTAAGATAATAGCTGAATTGATGAAGTATTATTAAAAGCAGATCTACACATCTTTGTGAATTTACCAGATAGGAAAACTATTAAAGGGCATTTTTAACAAATTAGTGAAATGCAATTAAAATAATGTTAAGTTTTATAATAGCATAAATGTTTTTATATTCTGCTATTTCAAGAAATTATTTTTAATTAACAATTTGCATGTATTACTACCTCCAAACAGTTTAAAAATTTGTTTATGTCTCTTAGAATTTTTTTTAAAAAATAAATCAGTGTATGAGTGTTTCTAGATATGGAACGCATATTTTCAAAAATAAAAATTTACAATATTTACTTTTAAAACTTTGTCTAATTTATTATTTTTTTTTTCCTAACATCACATTTAAGGATATGAGGACTAACACTGGTTATATAATAGTGGTCCAATTACTTGGAAATTTTAATCACATCTTTTTAAAAGTGCCTGTTCCCAAAACGAATATACATACATGTCTTAAATTCAATACAAATCTTAAATTCTAAATATCAGTTATTTGAAAATGAGGTTCACATTTATATTCTACCTTAAGTGATTATTGCAAGTAAAATTTACATGCTTTAACTAGTTGAAGAAAAATAAGGCTTATTCGTTTTGGGATTATTATTAATGTTCAATTAATGGCAATGACCAGTGTCATCTATATTGTGTAAAAAGTACCTAATATCTTTGAAACTCTGGAATGCTTGGCAGTTTGGAAAGTCCTGATCTCAGAAAATACAGAATTGTAGATATTGTACTTTAAAGCCAGTAGAAATATCAAAGTTTTAGGTCTGAAAATTTTTTTAAAAAAATTTGTTAGATTCTGTCATAAATCCACATTGTTTTTTTTTGTTTTTTTGGTTTCAATTCTACAGTTAACTACATGATTAACAGTGATGAAATCTATTTTCATGTTTTTTTTCAATAATTATTGTTTCAGATTTCCTTGCGGTTTTTAAAAGTGATTTTTTTAAAATATAATATTACATTACACAAATTTCCTTATTTTCCTTGAAATTTAAAATTCTTAACGTGTTTCTTGTCATGAGATGAACACAATTGTCCGATACTGGCCTGGATACCCAATGTTATACTGTATTTTTCTAGGCATATGGATAGTCTGTGATAGTAATTAGGCAGATGAATACTGTAAAATGTAAAGTTCTTGATATTTTTAATATTAAAAATTAAACTGAAATCTTCAATTACGTTGATAGATAAATAATTTCTATAAAAGGGGTAAGCAATCAAAATGTTTGTCTATAACTTATTTTGTTGAACATTCTTTTTTCTGGAATTAAATTGATTTTATCTAGAATTAAAAAACGTTTTTTTTTAATAATTATTTTTACTATTTTCTATTTCATGTTCTGCTAAATGATAGAGTTTTGTGTTAATATCTTAATCTTCAGGTAAAATATTGTGGTTATGGGAAACTTATATTTTAGAATATTTGTTACCATTGAAATAAGTTTAATGTTAAAATATTATTCCAAACTGCTGAACAATGAATGCATGTTTTAGAAAATAGTTTATATTTATACATTTTTTTTAATGATTTGTATATTTTTTTAGATAAAAAATGTCACACCCTTTTTGGAAATCTAACTTACATAAAACATTTCTACCTTGGCTTATACAAAGGGGTAAGTATTTAGAAATAAATTTCTGTTGTTTATTAGTTAATGTAACGAGGCAATAAGTATCTTATATCAATATAAAACTAAAAAATAATAATTTATAATTTTATTATTTGGCTTGTAAAAATATAATTTGTATTAAAAAATCCATTGAAAAATACTTTTAGCATACTATGTAAAAAATGTTTTCAGTATTCTTTGGTTATGAAAATTAATATGCTATTTGTAATTATGAATACAATCTGTGATTTGTAGTCAAATACAATAGTATATAATTTGATTATGATTAAATTAAGTTCTACAAAGCTTCATTAAGTGAAACCTTGAAAGATTACACATATTTTTTGTCTGTTAGTTGGAAAAAAGAAAGAATGTCGCGCAATCATAAATAATTGGAGAAAAAAAATGTTTCTGAGTGCAATCATCAAATTAAAAGTGTGTGGCAATATTTTAAACCAAAATATCATTAATTAATGAATTTGACTCAAAATTGTAGATAATTTTCTTTTATTTATTTTAAAAATATGTTCTGTATATTAATTTATTTCTGTCATTATTCTCTCTTTTTTTCTTTTTATGATTTATTTTTATTTATGAGAATTTTAACTCCCCTGGCATATGTAATTGCCCTAAATTTGTATTTATTTCCAATATTCATAGCAAGTTTATTTAAAAGCAGAGTTAATTATTACATTATAAAACCAGGGGTCTGTCCAGGCCGAATTTACTAACGTTTAGCGGTATCTTCACAAATTCAACTTTAGGAAAAACGGTAGTTTCACAAATTCAATTTTAGGAAAAACGGTAGTTTCACAAAATACTTTTTCTTAAAATTTTATTTCTGTATACCTTAATCGATAAATCCATAATTTTGTGTTGATTTTTTAATATAATTTTTAATTTTTCACAAATTATGTCTAAATTTTCACAAAATAGGTACCTTTCAGAAAAGACCTAGACAGACCCCTGAAAACAGAGCTAATTATTGTATTATTAATTTATAGTCATGAATCATTAAATCAATGAAAGTATTTGGCTATATTTTTCAAATTGGTTTTGTTTGTAAAATACAAATGGAAATATTTTCTGTTATTCTTTCTCTAAATAAATTATCACATTTTTTCCTAATTAATTTTTTTAAAATCAACTGTCATTACAAATTCCATCATATTTTTTTAGCCAAGAATGTTACTGCAGTGCAAGCAAAACCAAAGAAATTAGAAGTTTTCATTGATGACAAGCTTGTCCTTGTAGATCCTGGTACTACTGTACTGCAAGTATGTATTATTCTTCTGTTGCTATATTACTTTGAAAAAAATTATGTAAAAAGTTTAGTGTTGAAATCATTGATTCATCTCTGACTTCTTTTTTTTTTCTATTTACAATCCTAAATGATGTTGAATTCCTAATTCTGTTAAGTCTGATGTTTATCATGAAAGGCTCCTTTATATTAAATTTTTTAGGAATTTTTTTTTCAGTGAAACTTCCTATTGTACTGGTTAATATAAATTATTGTTCTATATATTATTGTTCTGCTGTCAATTTTTTGGGGTAATTTTTTCTTTTATCTAAAAAAAGAACTATCAACAAATTATTTGATGCTACCAAAATTTCTTTAGTCATTTTCAAAGTGCGGAGAAGTTATCCATTTTGAAGAAATTATTTCATATGGCCTATATTTTTGAAAAATTTTATCTTAACTATTAGCAGAGTTTATCTTAAAAGCATAGCAAAAACAAAAACTGCTACATTTCCCATTTTTTAGATTGCAATTCAGAGGAAGAAAAGAAACTTGTGTTTTCATAAAATAAAACAATCTAATAAAAATTGGTTTTGACTTTTAATTTCAATTTTTAATAAATCATGTACGTTTAGTATTTTACTTATTTGTTTGATATATTTAACTTAATTTAGTGAACTTGGTGATTAATTAGATAGTTATGTTATATAATTAAAAAAAAAGACTTCAAAAATTTTTTTAATTTTTTTTAAACATTTTTAAGTTGATAGCTAAGTAATTCATATTTTTTAATTAATAGATTTTGCTATATTTTTTGATAATATATACCTTAAACATTTAAATGTTTGATATAAGTATTTTTAAAATATATATTAGCTAAGAATTCAAAAGATTTTAGAATTATCTATTTCAAATAGTGTTGTTACTTTTATCAGACTACTTTCTTTCCCTTAGGCAGCTGCTATGGTTGGTGTAGAAATTCCTCGCTTTTGTTATCATGAAAGACTCTCCATTGCTGGAAATTGCAGAATGTGTTTAGTTGAAGTGGAGAAGTCCCCCAAGGTAAGCCATGTTAGATTTCATCTAATACTTGTTTCATCGTAATAAATATGTTAAAATTTACATTTTTTTCTGTTTTGAATAGCCTGTTGCCGCTTGTGCTATGCCTGTTATGAACGGATGGAGAGTTAAAACCAACTCCGACATGACGAAAAAAGCCAGGTATGTCTAAAAAAAAACTATTTTTTTAACCAACTATTTTATTTTATCACTAGTGTTGTTGAGTAGCTGATTTGTTTTCAATTTGTAGGGATTAAGGTTCAAATTCTGTAACCTTCTGATTTAGAACCTAACCCAGAAAAGAGAACTCTTGAATTAAACATTGAGTTTAACTTTCCTCTGGCTTTTAAACTTTTTAATGGAATAATTCAAATGTCTTAAATGGCATGAAAACATCCCACGTATAACCCAAAATTTTTTACATCAGCACTGTGGTGGTGTTATGTACTATGTACAAGTTAACAAGAGTGTTGCTATTGTAAGGATTTATTTAAGGATTTAAACCAGGGTTGAATCAAGAAAACCATCCCAGGGGTGATTGTATTCCAGGGGTATCCCAGAATTCCGGGTTTTTCTTATTATTCATCTGGGTCTAAAAATTCAAAGCAGGACATATGATTTTTTCTGGGAATATCGTGGAATTCCGCGTCTCTCAAGACCATTGATTCTTGGACTTCCACAAATCAAAAGCTTGTAATCCAATAAAATTTTCACAGAATTCCTCAATCTAAAATTCACATTTTGAAAGTTTCAATAATTCCCGCTAACGAGATGCTGACATATATGTAATTCTTCTGCCAATTTACAGAAATCCATCAATTGATTCTTTTAGTTTGGCTGACTTTCTTCATATTGGACGTTTGAAACTGTGTGGGAATCCGCTCATATCATGATTCCCACGCGGTTAGAATATCAAGCATCGATTTTGTATTTACCTTATTCAAGTTACACTGTGCAATTTGTATTGATATGGTTTAGAAACCATACGTCCCTATTCTTATTCACACGATTTTAAAAATCCATTGCAATTCTTGTATGAACTAAGATTTTTCTTCAATTAAGTATTAAAAAGGTGTGATATTCATCATTGGTTGCTAATTTAATTACAAATTTTATTTTAAATTTAAAAGCTAAGTAGTTTGTTTTAATTGTTATTACAATGCTTTTTATTGGGTTTTTTTCCCCTCATAATTTTGAAAGGAAATGATAAAAAATCTGATTATTAGCTAGGATAAAACAAACTATTTATTTATTATAAATATTTATTATAAATATTTAAAATATATTTTTCTCACATAAAATGCCATGTGAAATTCATAAAATAAAAATATATTCCAGAGAGGGAGTAATGGAATTTCTTTTGATAAATCATCCCCTGGACTGTCCCATTTGTGATCAAGGAGGTGAATGTGACTTGCAGGTGATTTTTTACTATTTGTTTTGATATTATTTTATAATAATTTTACATTACATTACTTTTATTTATCTTAAAATATGGAATGCTTTAAAAAATTAATACAATTTACTCAAATTTATTTCATATTATTAATGATTATTAATAACATTTAAGCGTTATTAAGTTAAGGAGATAAAATAACTCTTCTACAAAAATGTATCAAACATTTTCTTTTTGAAATATTAACAAAATGTTACATTTTAATATTATTGCAATGAAAAGTACTACAAGAACTTTGCTACTTCAGAAAAATAGCTCTATAACTACTTAAAATATTTCTTACTTGTTGGTATTTCATTTCTAAATTAAACACAATATTTTTTTCCCCAGACCATCGCTTTTCCACTTTTTATTATTTTTCTGCTTAAACTACTCTTTGTTAAATAATTTCTGTTGTACTTTTATAATACCAAGGATGTTCCAAATTAACGACACTGTTGAGAAATTTCTATGTTACACTTTTTATAATGTATACAAACTAACAAAGAAAACTTAAAATCTATAAATTTGCAAGAATTTCAGTCAAGTGCTCGCAATTTAAATTTTTCAATGCAGCTTATTTACAGTGAAACCTCCAGGAAAAGCTACCTCTGTGTAGTGACCATATTGTAGAAAACCTTTAGGAGAGACCATCAAAACCTCCCCCACCCAGCGACCAAGCAAAATTTAACACTAAATGTGGAAATAAGAGAACATGAAAAAATATTGAAACAAAAAATATAAACTAAACAAATAAGTAGATTCAAATGTGTTCAAAATATTAATGAGTGGCTCTTATTTAGAGAGCTCTTTTTGACGATATCTGAAGGAGATCGAAAATTCCATGTTGCAGTCAGAGTGCACTTAAGACGATGCTATCATTGATTTATTTTTAGAGTTGAAAGTTAAATTAGATAACAAAAAATATTATTTTTGAAAAAACTAAGCATCTCAAACAAGCAAACCTCTTCTCATTTTTTAAAGCAACATAAGCGTTATGATATATAATTAAATGCAAAGTTAAGCAAAATATATTTAAAATAGTTATTTATTTAAAATTTATTTAAAATAGTTCTATCTTTCATAATTGGTAAATTTGTTTTTACATATAATTTTATCAGTTGGGGAGATTTTTTTGTCGCTAAATTTTATTCATTGATCGGGTTTTCACAATACCAATACAAGTTACTTTTTCCGCGTCAGGAAAATGACACTAATCAAAGTTAAAATCTCTTACGCAAACTCATGTACACTCGATAGCATTTTGAAGTTAATAGAGGTAACCCCTGAAAACGACCAACCTCCATTAATGACCATTTTACTGTGAAACAGACATTGTTTGCTTCCGAGAGGTTTCACTTTTATATCCTAATTATTTTTTGTAAAGTTATGTGTTTGAGATTTTTATAATCTGTTTTGCTAAGTCATTTTTATTTTGTAATAGTTTTTATTTTTATGTAGTAGTTTATTCTTATTTTGTCAAAACTTTTTATTAACCTTCCATTATTCCATTTATAAATTTTTTAAATGCTATGTTTTCTGATTTGTTGATTTATTAGAGATATATGATACATCAATAATTTTGTTTGAAAAATTAGCTGTAAAGCATTATTTTGTTATGTTAAAATTGAGGCTTTTCATCCCATTAAGCAGCACTTAAATTTTTTTATATTTTTAGTTAATAAATTTGTTCTATTTTATCTCATTTCCTGTATAGTTTTTACAGACCTTATTCTTGACAAGTCTTTAGGCTTAATAGTTGAATCTAACAAAATGTTATGATATTAAAATAGCGGCACTGACCCTTTTTTTTAGAAGAAAAATATTTAAATTAATATTGAAGAGTCTAATAACTTTTTGTAAATGGAGCATTCCCTTACCAAGCCTATGGTATTGGTTTGTTTCAAGTCCAGACTCAAACTCAGGCATCTGTTATAATTGAAAGGCTTACCTTTTTGCCATAATTGTACAACTGCACTTATGAGCAGTAGTAATTAAAAAATTGTTTTCTTCTTTTTTTCAACATTCGTTTGATAATAACCTTTTACTACATTTAATTCAAGCATACATTGAGTGTAGGATGCATTATTATTGCAAAAGTTTTATTCCTAAAGGTTCATCTTTAATATTTTCTTAGTTCAATTAAATGTAGCACATGGTGCTGAGACTAACACAATACTTGTTCACACTTACTTTCTGTTTAACAATACTTTCATACTTTTTTTTATCACTAATTAGTTTTATTACAAAGGTCTTGGTACAAGGTACATTATTTTTTATGTTTAGTAAATTTATTACATTTTATTATGATAAGAAATACTGAAATCTACATCCCAAAACTTTATTTTCAAAGTTCATGTCGAAATTTTATTTTTACTTATTTTTCAATTCGTATTTTGTATATTAAAATTTACTGTAATGTTACTTAATAGTAAAGGTATAATTTTTTTTTCTTAGGATGAAGCTATGGCTTTTGGAAGTGACCGCAGCAGATTTCAAGACATTTATTACACTGGGAAAAGGTAATGTGCCTCAATTATATTTCACAATTTATAAGAGAAATTTCTAACTTGACACAGAGGTCATTTTAAATTAAATATAAATTTTTAACAAACAAAATTGATTTGTTTTGATGTTTCAACAGTTTATGACATCTGTTAATTCATAAGCAAAATCTTACATTCAGGGGTCTACAAATTTTACAGAAATCGGGACCAGTTCTTTGGAGCTAACATTATGATATCTAAAGTAGTTTAACTTTTTCAATACACAATAACTTTTTTGTGGGGCCTGGCTGGTAGGGCACTGGGCCCATGTCCAAGAGGTCGTGGGTTTGATCCCTGCCGGCGAAAGACTCTCCGTGTGTCTGATGCACGTTATATCCGTCGAGTCGCAAAGTTCTCTGGTTACCATAACAAGTCAATACCTCTGGGGGAACTGATCCAGGACTTTACTTGTCTTCTGTATTTTTTTAAATTTACAAGGCTACGGAGTTGAGCATTAGTAGTCGTAAACCCAAAAATTGGGTCTGCTGTTCAACGACAGTTATAAAATATAAAACAAAATTACTCTGTTTTGAGCCTTGATGGCTCAGGGGATAGAGCGTTTGTCTTCCAATGAGGTGAACCGGGTTCGAATCCGGGTTCGTGGAAATGAATCTGCATTCGGCTTGCATCCACCACAGTGCTGACGTGAAATATCCTCAGTGGTAGATGGATCATTGCTTAGAGTCCCTTAGCCATCAGGCTAACCGTGGGAGGTTCTCGTGGTCTTCCTCTCCATGTAACGAAAATGCGAGCTAGTTCCATCAAAAGGTCTTTCACGAAGACAAATATCTCCCAATATCCTTGATCCGGGAGCTCCCTTGTCATCTGGATTGGGTTCAAAATTACAAGGCTACGCAGTTGAACATTAGTAGTTGTAAACCCCAAAAAATGGGTTGTCTGTTCAACAGTGGTTATAATATAAAATAACATTACTCTTTTATGAGTGATCCAAGGTATGTATTCAATTTTAATTCTTATAAAATTAGGCTGATTTAAATCACATAAAATTCTGTTAAATTTCTAAAACTCCCTCTTTTAGTTTTTTTTTTTTTTTTAACAGAAATAAAATTTTATTCATTAAAATAAAATGAAATTTTTAATTATCTTACTGCTTAAATCGCATGATTGTTTAGGTAAGCGATCTTTAAAGTGTAAAAAGTGTGTAAATGCATTGCTAGAAGAAAATAAAATTAAAATTAATGTGTTTACCTGCACTTAAGCAGCTACCAATTTATTTCATAATAGTAACAGTTACACTAAAAAGAACTATTTCTTTAAAAATCTTTAAATTTAAATGTTATTTTAAATAGTTACAATTCTTAAAGTTTGCACAAATCTATCTTAAAATTATTTTTTGATTTTTTTCTTTCTTTTAATTAATTATTTACCTATTAATTTAAAAACTTTGAAAGCTTTACTAAGTGTTGTTTTATTTTTAGGGCTGTAGAGGATAAGGATATTGGACCCCTTGTCAAAACAATTATGACTAGATGCATTCACTGCACAAGATGTGTTCGGTTTGGAAGTGAGGTGGCTGGTGTTGATGAGTTAGGTACAACTGGTCGAGGAAGTGACATGCAAATAGGTACTTATGTTGAAAAAATGCTGGAATCAGAGCTGTCTGGCAACATTATTGATCTCTGTCCTGTTGGTGCACTAACATCAAAACCTTATGCTTTTACTGCTAGACCATGGGAAACTAGGTAAAATTTTGTAATTTGTTCTAGTACTGCTATTTTTATTTATCCAGTATTGATATTTTATTGCTCTTAAATTAGATTTTTTTTTATTTTTTGATTTACGTTTTCGTAATATCTATAAATTCTGTATGAAATCTTCATCCTAAAAAAACTGAAAATATTTTTCCAGTATTTTGCCCTGAAACAAAAACTCTAAAGAAAAGTATTTTACTATTGATCAATGCTTTATTAGTTGATCCCCATTGAAACAAAATTGGTGATACTATGATAACTATTTCGTGTTAACAGATAGCATCTTATATGATCAATCTTAAAAACAGTTTATTATGCTTTATTAATGATCAATTGAATTTTTTTTGCTTTGGTTTTGTTGCTGACGATGATTCCTGTTTCACCAACAAGCACTGATATTTAAAATCTCGCTATAAAATTCAAGAAAAAATATTTTAACATAATCAAGTTAAAAGATGTATCTCCCTTTTTGACTAGTTTTCACCTCACATAATGGCATTCACTCTCCTACCTGCTAAGGGAGAAAACAAATTCATGTCTAGCAAAAGAAGAAAATTGATATAGCATAACTCAAAAAGAATAATTGACTCTTTATTCACTTCCTTATCTGTGTTTTCACGCACAATATCCTTTTGTGTTAAGCAATGATCAGTTTTAAAATTTCATGTTAAAATATGAAGTTCAATATTAATATATTGTTTGCTCCCTGAACCAAAAATGTAAAGTGATATTTCATTTTAAGTGATTTCACATTAACAAGGTTAAACTGTAATAGGCCATGAGACCAAACTATGGTGTCTTATTTGATTATCAGAAATAGTAATATTGTAAGCCAAAACCATCTGTGAGAAATGATTCAGTACAATTCAAATAAAATTTTATCTAAAATTTAGTCTAACTAATAAAATGCTCCAAGTTAGTGAGCTGTAGTGTACTTCCAAAAGATTAAGAAATCTTCTTTAATTTTGCTTGAATAAAATTTTCTATTCATGTGAGCATTTGTAAATTTGTTTACTTCTGGAAGGAAAAAAAAAGGGTTTTATGATTTATTTACCCAGTTCTAAAAAACCTTGTAGTTCTTTTTTTTTTAATGTTGAATGTCCCTAATTTTTCTATTTACTGTTATAATATCGATGTTATTAAAAAGTTACATTTTGTGCTTGGTTTACCCTGCATTTAGTTATAAACACTGACATTGACTCTTCCCTAAATCCTAAAAGTAACTAAATTCTTAAGTATCTCATTATTTTATCTTATTTATTGATTACATATTTTGTGTACACTAAATGCTTATTTCAGATGTTGATGTTGATATTCATTATGTTTAAATTAGTATCAGACATCCATTAAAGAAAAATAGTAATTGAAAGTCAATATTAATTTAGTTTCAAAATGTTAGTGTGCTAAGTGTATGGCATTTGTTTTCTCATTTTGCTATCTAATAGTGGTTTCAGTTTTAAATTAATATGATTTTTTTTCAGTGTTTTAAAAAAGTAATTTTTTTAGTCATTTATATACATATATATATATATTTTTTTTACATATTTATTTATATCTAGAGCACATTTTTTCTTTCTTTTTTTAGAAAATAATAGTTTATTGCTACTTAATAAGTTTTGATCAATTATATAATCTAATTTATTTTAAAGGTATTTATTATTATAATTTTTTTTATAGAAAAACTGAATCTATTGACGTTTTAGACGCTGTTGGATCTAATATTATAGTTAGTACACGAACAGGAGAAGTTATGAGGATTTTACCACGTTTGAATGAGGTTTGTGAATATTTTCTTCTCTGTTAATGAAAATAAGAAAGTTTTTGTAAAGAAAATTAAAAAAATTTTGTTTGCACCTCTTTTCCTTTAGGAATTTTTTTAAATTTAGATTTATTACTTTTATTATTTAAATTCGAAATTATTTTTATAAGTGTACATGTTTATAAATTTTCGCAGTAAATGTGTTGAATAAAAACCTGCTTGACTTATGTTTTTTTATTTATTTACTTATTTTTGTTACGAGCCAAAAATTTCATTCTGTGCTTTGGTTGTGAAAACATGTCTTATTTTTTTCAAATTTTATGACATGATTTATATAAAATTCTCACTGTATGAAGTAGTAATAAGATATGATTTTTAATTGCGTGTATCACATCTTTTAAAACTTAGCTTTTAATTATATTATTGCAATTTAGAAAAAGCTATTAAAATTTAATTAACTCATTCATTTGGTTGTTTTTGTTCGACTCTTTTTAGCGTTATCGAGCATTCAAATTCAAAAGTAAACTGTGCACTAAATAAATATCTATGTTAAATTTTCCTCTGAACTAATTTTAAAATATAAAGTAAAATCAATTTAATCTAGGTAATTTTAATAAGTTTGCATTATTAGTAAACTATCTAATATATTGGATTCTTTAAAAGTAATTTCCCAATAGAAGACTTAATTCTATTTTTCCACACCTAAGTCGTATAATCATTTAAAATTTTGAAAGCTGATATAGGAAGACTTACTTGTGAAAAAGTTTGATTGATTTTCCACAGTAATTTTTGTTTGATGTGCTTTCAATATAGGAAGTGAAAAGCACAATTTTTGGCGTATCTCACATTTTCTATATCAAAAACGTAAAAATGCTGTTCAAGCAAAAATAAAACTATCTGATGTGTAGGGCGAAAATGTAATGACAATACACCAGTTTTAAAATTGGTTTGCAAAATTGAGATGCAATATGCCAGTTTAGGCTTATGAAGACACAATAAAGCCATTAATTGTTGCAAACCGACAGATAACAAGCTGTGAAATCGCTGAGAGGTTGAATTCAGCGAATTAGATTATTCATGATCATTTGAAAGGTTTCATATATAGTACATATAGTTCAACATATAGATTCTTCGTGTTCTTTCAGAAGGAAATTTTGCATTGTCACATTAATCATCAAGAAAATTATTATTATTGTTTCTATTTTTTTGTAAAGTTGAAAGGGAAACTGAAAACTATAACCTTGTCTGAATTATTATTGAAATCACGATCAATGTTTATGTTATACAACGTTCTTAGCAATATGAAAGCTTAAATGATCCTAAAATTCAGCAAATTGTACCAATGCTTACTAGCCTTGTCAGATATAAACTAAAATTGTGAGTGCTGATTAGTTAAAATGTACTGTTACATACTCTGTTAAATAAGAGAATTTAAAAAAAAATAATAAATGTATAAATAGACAAATATATAGATAGATGTATTTTAGAATATGTCTCTTTCAAGTTACGTTTTTAATGACATAATATTAAACAAATGAAATAAGTTTTTGTACATTAAAATATTTCATTTTTGTGCAAAAAAAAAACTTGTTTATGACTTGATGAAATATTTTAAGTTTCAATATTGTGTTGCTACTTATTTTTTTATTATATTTTTTTCATTATTTATAAATATAAAAGAAATAACCAAAATTTTTGAAAGTTACCAACTTATGTAAATGTATATACTATTTGTACAGTGTGCAAAAAAAGAGAATTTCGTAACATTTAATTTAATGATCAGACTAAATGTGAATAACTTTAGGATCAAGCCTTAAATGTAGAAATTAATTAATGTGTATTATATTTTAAGTTGCAAAATCAGGCATAGACAACATACTTTCTTTGAATGAACATACATTTTCAACAAATTTAGATTTTTGATTTTTAAAATATATGAGATTGTTGTAATCTGGAAAATATGACCTGGTTAACTCCTAAATCGACAAAGTGCTCTACCTGTATAATGTCAATTTAGTTGTCTAAGATTTTTTTTTTACTTGTATTGCTCTTACATCATTAATATGATCCCCAATACTTCTTAATATAAAATTTTCAAATGATTTTTATCTGTTACTCATTTTCAGGAAGTGAATGAAGAATGGATTTCTGATAAGACTAGATTTGCTTATGATGGTCTGAAAGCTCAGCGCTTGGTTACGCCCTTGGTCAAATCTGAATCTGGTTCTTTAACTGCCTGTGATTGGGAAGAAGCATTGATTAAGGTTTCAAAACAGGTATGTGGAATTCATGCTGTTATAATTATGTTATCAAGAGTTATTCCAGACGTTTTCTTAAAGGTAAAATATTTTGTGAGAGGTAATTATAATAAATTTTGTAAAGAGTTCTTTATCAGTCCCAAATCTCTCATGAAAATAAATGTTATATTATGAAAGTTGATATCTCCTATTTTTTCCCCAGTTATTTTTCTTTAAATAAATATCACCTCAGTTGATCTAGGATCATGTTGAGATATTTTAAAAATATTTAAATTGTATTATAGTCTTCAACAGCTTTAAGGGATATAATTAGTTTTTATGCTTTCCCTATTTTTTTCTAGAAATAATAATGTTTCCAAATTGGTCAAATTCTATTCTAAATGTTTATAATTTGTTTAATCTGAATATTTATTCCCATTAAAATGCATTATGAATTGTGTGTGTTTATTTGTTTTTTTTTTATTTTTTACATAAATAATTTAAATGTCTTGTTTATTTAATTTAGATCGGATCTGTTTCTCCTGATAAAATAGTTGGAGTTGCTGGGGGATTAGTGGATGCTGAAGTAAGTAAACTCTGTTTAAATTTATTCTGTTACAAAAATTTTTTCAATCATTCTGATTAATTTTATCATGATACATTCTTTATAAGATCAAATAAATAAGGTTTAATTTTAAAATAAATAAAATTTTATTGAAATAAATATTTGCTGCAAACTCATTATTTATGTTCTTGCAATGTTTTCTAACGCTTTTGAGTTTGCTAATAATATCCTACCCTTTCTTTATCAAGAAATTTGTGCTAAGCTTTGTTAACTATTATTATTACCACTCCAATTGAGATTTGTTTTTATTTTGCTTTGTTTTAATCTATTCTTTTATTTCTTATATCTTTTTTATTAACAGAAAATATTATGTTTTACAATATTAACACTTAGAATATTTGACCATAAATTTCTCACTGCATAATTTGGTTGCTCTATTACAAAGTAAACTGTAAGCCACCTTTCCTCTGTGTTATTTAGCATACAGTAGGTATTGAAGAAAAGTCCTTGGCAACTTGCTTCGATAAAATGTATGCCAAATATTTCCATTTATTTATTACCAAGATAGGGATTTTTAGACATGAAAGTTAGGGTCTAAAATTGCTTTGAAATTTCCAAAATCTATATTTCTAAACTCTTATTCTAAGTGTAATAACTGTGCACTTATTGAAATAATAATTATAAAATAAGTATGTATTTTTTTGTAGGTATTTAATGTTTAATATCAATTAAAATTCCATAATGCTTTTATTTTTAAGATTCCGTTTATGAGCTATAAAATACATAATTATAATTATATAGATGTCTATCAATGCATATAAAACCTTGTATACTTAAAGTTCATTTTAGTTTCGTAGGATTAAGATAGAAAATTTTGTTTATTTTTTGAATATATTTCAAAGAGGAATTTTTTTTAATTAAATATTGCAATTATAATTTGGGCATTTTTATTCGTCTTACAGCTTTTGCCATTTTATTTATATGTTTAGCATTTTTTCTCAATTAATAATATATCTACAGTATCTTGTTTTGCGCGATTTGACTAAAAGGATGAAACTAACTATTTTTACATCATTTTTTTTCTAATATGTTACTACAAGGTTCCACATATTATGCTATTTAATAACGAAGCTCCACATAAGTTGTAATTTGTATATTCAATTTTTTATTGCTATGCATTTATTATGTATGAAATTTTTTTTGCAAGAAACGGTAACTCGAAAAGTTGATTTTGAAGTTCATATGTAACTTAATTTTGAAATATTTTAAGCATTTTGCTATACAATTTATGAAACAATTTTAACTGAAGTTTTATGTTAAGCTTGAACCTCTCAATTACCTTCATTTTTTAGGCACTGGTTGCTCTTAAAGATTTTCTGAATAAATTAGGATCAGAGAATTTGTTTACTGAAGAAAAGTTTCCAACTGATGGATCTGGGTACTTATATATTTTTAAGATTGCTTATTTGTTTGTTAAGAAAATGTGTTACAAAGTATTGTACTTTTAAACAAAAACATTTTTCAGCTGTGATATCAGAAGCAGTTATTTACTAAACAGCAAGATATCCGGAGTTGAAGAGGCAGATTTAATTTTGCTTATTGGTACAAATCCAAGGTATGAAGCTCCCATGTTCAATGCCCGCATTCGCAAAGCTTGGATTCATAATAATTTAGATGTTGCTGTTATTGGACCAAAACTTAATTTAACTTATGATTATGAAGTAAGTAACTTTTTTAGATAAAATTGTTTCCTTATATTGTTATTTATATGTTTATTTATGTAAGCTTGAACATGCAAGCACTTTATATCTCATATAGCAAACAAAAGTAAAATGCATGGGAAAATCATGTTAAGCTGAAACACTTGTATTTTAATGTTGCTAACTTATGTTTAATTTTAAGTGTAAGTGATCCATTGCAAGTATGTTAAAAAAATATGAAAATTTTTTAACCTAAACTTTGTGACTTATTTTTCACTATCGGAGAATTTTGATAAGAAATTTCTTGTAATTGATTTTATGCTTTTTTTTTTAAATCAAATTATTAGAATTTATTTTAAGTTTCTGTTTTATCCCTTCTAGATAATCTTTGGATTTTGATGACATTTTCATTTGTTTAGATAGCTTCTTTAGGTCATTTTTTTAACATTTTTTAAAAGAAATACTGAACTATAAGTAAAACCCTCTTTGTCTATTTGTTTTAAAATAAATCAGTGATAATCCTGATTAATATTAATTTTTTTTTAAATCTTAAATGCTTTAGAGTTTTTCTAAATTTAGATTTAAATTTTATATGCTGAATTTTCACACTTAAAAATAAATGCTTTTCAAAAGTTTTTTTTTTCTTTTTTAATTTTATTGATTTTAAATGTTATTGTTAACTATTTTTTTAAAAATTTGTTGTCTATGTTGTTTTATGATTTACTTAATTCCTGTTGGCTACTTAATGTCACAAAACTGACAAAATGTACTAAGAAATTTTCGCATTTTATGTATAAAAAGGAATTTTTTGAAAAACTCCATTTTTAAAACATGCAAATTTTTTGCCTTATCCATAACTAAAAATACTGTTAATCTATTTCACTACTAAAGAACCAATCTCTTCTTGCCTTAACTTTGTAAAGAAAAGAGAGAATGATACTGCTCATGTGAAATAATTCAGACAGTGACATCTGGACGACACATGAGACCTTAAAAACTGAAATTGCGTCTTAAATGCTCTCAATGCTTCTTCTCTATTGGAAATTTCTTTCTTCTAATCAATTTGAAGACTGTATTTAACACAGCTGGGTTTAAAAAACAAAGAGAACAGAAATGTAGTCTTTGAGATGTTCATATAAATGAAACATCTATTCAGACCCTTGATAGTTGATGAATTGTGGATATATCATATTCATAAGACCTTGTGTCTTACAGGTTTGCATTGCTTTCTTTTTTTTATTTGAATCGCGGGAGATTTACTTTCTAGGAGGTATTATCACATTTTGTATCAAGTGATGGGTAAGCTTTAAGGGGTGTGAACCCAATGAATGAAACCGAATGAAGACTAAATGCTCCTGTTTTGTATCATATGACTAACTTGAATATCTGTGTTAATAGGGAAATAATTCATTTATCAGTAGCTACACCTAGAATTATGTATTTATATCAAATTATCTTCTTTTGGTATAGAAATTTTTTTTTATTATTTAAATAAATTTGAGCTATTTTACATTTAATTAGTTCTATGTCGTTAAAAATATTTTAAAAACAATTTACGTTGTTAAACTTCGTTATTTAAGTACCCTTCTCGTAAATGAGCAACTCTCATAAGCGGGCAATTCTTTTGATCCCAAGAGTGTATGCTTAACCAAGTTTTTCTGTATATGTATACATATTTTTAATTAATATAATTTACAGATTTTTTTTTTTTGCAGAAACATGTGAAAATCAAAATTAATAATTCTTTATTTTGAATGTTATAGCATTTAGGAGATTCACCAAATCTACTGAAAGAAATTGCATCAGGAAATCACCAGTTTTCTAAGGTAAGATTCTTCTTTACATACTCCCTTATTTAAATAATTTGTTGCAGTCTGAAGTTGATTTAATAATTAACTAAAATATTTTTCAAATTATCTTTCTGCATTAAAGTATGTAGTAACTATTAAAAAAGCTTACTTTAAAAGTTGAATTCATTAGAAAAATATTTTTGCTATACTTTGTTTTTGTTAAGAAGTTAGTTGCCCCTTAAAATAATTTTAGACAAAGGATACAAATAATTGAATTAGATTATATATTTTTTGTTCTAAATTATTTCCCCTGTGTTATTTTTCAGAAACTTTCAGCTGCTCGCAATCCTATTGTTGTTTTGGGCAGTGAAGTTCTCCAAAGAGCAGATGGAGCATCAATTCATGCACTTGTTCAAAAGATTTCACTTCAGTGTCAAAAAGCAGATGGACATAAAGCTCTTAACATTTTGCACCGAGTAAGTTATTTTTCTTTGTTTTTTTTTCTAAGCTTTTTCTTTGTTTTTTCTATAAGCATTTTCTTTGTTTTTTTATATACGCTTTTTCTTTGTTTTTTCTATTAGCTTTTCTTTGTTTTTTCTATAAGCTATTTTATCACCTAAACTAGAATTTTATAATGTTTACCGGTACAATTTTTTTGCCAACAGATTATTGTTTCATCAATATTGTTCAATAGATTTAAACTAAATTTTGGATTTGAATCAATACTTTATTTAATTTCTTGATAAAATTGTGTAATTCCTTTTTGTTGCATTACTTATTATCCATGCTAATTTTTATTTTTAAGAATATTAAAGAGTACTTTTGATTTTCTAAAACCTCAAAAGTCTTTCATGATTTATTATTTAATAAACTTCTTACTTATCAAATATATATAATGTGAACAATGCTTATAACTTTATTAAATAAATTTTAGATGAAAACCTAAAATGTTTGTTAAAATTGAACATGGGAATGTATTACATTTTACTCTTGTTTGTGTCAACCCTTTATAATGTCTCACAATGAAATAATTAATATTGTTTCTATCAGAATTGACTTTCTTATTAATTAAATTATATTTATTATGTAAAAATTCTAGCAATGTATGATGCAATATAGTATATCAGGTCCAATTTCTCTTAAGTGTGATTTGTAAGCTATGTCATTGTTCCTTAATTCAATATTCAGAAATTAATGATTGTTAAAATATCAAATTTAAAAGTAACTGAGAACACAGTTTTTTGTTAAGGGCTTATAATTGTTTAAATATGTTATTCAACCATCACTTTAATTGGCATAATTTTATTAGAAAATTAGTTGATCAAAGATGCAACTAAAAATTATCAGAATAAGGGATTATGCGATTATAAATTAAAATTAGCTGAAATGAAACTAGCTAAAAATTATTATTATCTAATTTGTTTTAAAGAAAGTACAAGCGGGAGTGGAAAATAATTAATCAAATAACTAATAAAAATAGCAAAAATTTCCCTCTTTCAAAAATTTATAATAAGCTCCAACTAGCAAATATGTTCAATACTCATTTTAACTCTATATTAAATTAATTTAGATTAAATTAATATGCCACCCTGCTTCAACTAGTTAATTAATTTGCTTATGCATAGCTTAATTATTTTAATATAATTCTTATTCTGTAGTAATGAGTTAAAATAATCACAGAAAATTCTCAATATCACTCTTTTCATTTAGTTTGATTTTTATTCCCTGAAAACAAAGTAAATATGAAGTCATTTTGAATAGAGGGAATGTAATTTTATAAATTTTAATATTTTCTTATGAAATTTGTTTCTTTTATGAGTTTCCTTTTGTACTAATTAATATTGTTGATCTAGCTGGGCTTGTTATGTTAATGTTGAGATATACTTTGCTGTAGGATTAAAAGTTTACATGTTACTTAAATTAATATTTTATCTGGTTACACTTAAAATACCTTAAGCGTTCATTTCTGGGGAGTTACTCTGAAAACTCAGTTAAAACATGTGCAGAAAACATGTAATATTCATCAAAGAACATATTCTTAAATTTAATCTTAGATTCTGACTTTCTAGGTAAGAATGTTTTGTAAGCAATAAATTTTATAATTGTAATGAGTAAATAATCTTTTTTATTTATACTGACTTAAAAATCTAATGTTTTCTGATTGATTGATAAAGAATAAAAATAGAAAACACTGCCAGTTAATCTACTATTTAATTAACTAATTTGAAAGCTGATTACCTTTCATGCATTGAAGAATATGCAAGGTCGAAGGTCAAGTGTATGTTAAAAATCTCGATTTCATTATTCATGTGCTTAAAAAGTAGCTAGATTGCTTTTGTGGTGAAGTGTATTGGTTAATGTAAACTTATAGTTATTAATTCGTTTTCAACTTGAATTATCCTTGATGTAAATAAATCTACAAAGCCGAAATGATTTCAAAGGTCATTTTGATTAGACTTTTATAATTAATTTAAGTTTATTTACTACTTGACCAAATTAAATAAGGTTTCTCGTTCAGACATTTAAATTTATTCATCTGTAACCTTGGTAGCAGTCAGTTGTTACCTCAAGTAAAGAGTTAATAGTCAGTTTGGTATTAGAATTGAACATTGAGTACTTGCTCACTTGCCAATTACATCCCCTGACTAGGATCAACATTCTGTGATGTTCTTACCCTGGGTGTTTGCTGTCTTGAAATTAGTTGAGTTATTAACTATGACTGGGATGTTGAAAATTACCTAAACAAAACTGTTGTATTCCCTACTATGTATTTTTTAAAGGTAGACTAGTTTTTTAATGTAGGTTTTTTTTATGTAAGTTGAGCCTAAGTATTTCATAAAGCATATGCATTGATTCAGTTAAGCAAGTTCCCCAATTTACCCTTTATGTAATTCTCAATTTGCTCCTATGTGGAAGACCATTTAGACTTATGCTTTGATGCTGGCAACATAGCAGCGACTAATGCTGTTAAAAATTGCTTACTTCTATTTCCGAACTGTATTGGGTTGTCATCATAAACTAATGCCAAAAAAAAAAGTGTTTTTCTTGCTAGAAAGCTTAGTAATATCATTCGAAACAGTGTTAAGGGTCATTGGAAAATTGTTCATTCTTTTTAATTATACCACATCTTTCTAAGGAATTTGATAAAATAGTTTAACTAATAAATTCTTTGATATTCATTTTAAATATGATGATATATCCTAGGTTGCCAGTCAAGTTGCTGCGCTAGATATTGGTTACAAGTCTAATCCTGATGAAATTGAAAAGATTCAGCCTAAATTATTGTATCTTGTTGGGGCTGATGAAGGTGTAATTTCAAAAGAAAATTTGCCCAAAGATTGTTTTATTATTTACCAAGGTAGATATTAATTTTTTTATTTAGTGTCTCTTTCAGTCTATTACTTTATTTCGCTAATTTCTTTCTTTTTTTCGGATTGGCTAAATTGGTGGATACTTTTTTCGCTTCAAGTCTTATCCAAAGAACAATAACAATACAACAAAGAGACGATTCGTAAATTCAAAACAAATCATTTATACTCTACAAATTGTTTATACTGTACTGTACAAAATTAAAAAATAAAAATAATAAGAAACAAATTTAGTAAAAACTATATTTATGATTTAGTAAAATGTAGACTTTTAAGATTTTTTTCAAAGCTTATTTTTTTATGAACACTTGTTGGTTGTAACATTGTTGCAAATACTGCAGTCTTGTTATAAGTAAGTTCTACTGTACTCAAAATACTTCTGACTGTTATTATCAACTTTTTCTTTTCTTTCATTTTCGTTTTTTTATTATTGTTAATTTTTTATTTACTTTCTTTTAATTTTTAATAGTCCATTGTTCATTGACTGATTTATTTCAACTTTAAATTTTTCTTTAATGTCTGTAAGTTATATGTAAAAGTAATCATAACACGACACTCTAAACTTTATTGAATCAGAAGAATTATAAATCTCAAACATATACAGTTAAATGAATACTATGAAAGAAAATAAAATCATATTTATTTTATTTTTGAATGGTATTCTTATTGATTAAACATTGATCTTAAAATATGCTTCCTATTTTTATTTCTATTTTTATGTGTGTGTATATATGCATATATATGTATAATATTACTCCTGAATATTCTAAATTTTATGTATTTTTCTCATTTCACTAAAATATCTTTAAATATTGATAAGACTATATGAAGTTAATTAGTTTCATTTTCTTATTCTTTATCATTAGGTCACCATGGTGACAAAGGAGCTGAAATAGCTGATATTGTTTTACCTGGAGCAGCCTATACGGAAAAGCAAGGTACTTACGTTAATACTGAAGGACGCTCTCAGCAAACATTACAATCAATAACTCCTCCAGGATTGGCTAAAGAAGATTGGAAAATTATCAGAGCACTATCTGAAGTAAGGCTTTAAAAAATAATTTTAAAAAGAAAGGAAGAGGAGTTTTTTTAGTTTTTTCAACCTTAAAATATAAAAACCTTCATTTCCTAAGTTACTAAGAGGACGAAACCATTACTAAGAGGACGAAATTAAAAATGTCAATGTTTGTTCATTTTTATACCTTTGTGCTAGCTTTCGAGGATTAGCCCAAGATTAATTTATCATACACATAAGAATCTGAAAACATTTGAACAATAAACAATCACAGAGAAACATTTTTACTTCTACGTTTATAGTACATTTAAAGCTTTAAAAATTTCATAAGTTTTTCTTTAGCTATATTTCTGCACTTTTAGGAGCAGTTATTGAAAGTTGTTTTAACTATGAGGCTCTTTTTTTTAAGTAAGAAATGTTTTGTAGTAGAGCAGGAGAAACTTTATTTATGAACATAAATTGCATCACAAACATAAATATAAGCATTTATTCACTTTTCAACATAGCCATTATCAATATTTAACGTTTGTCGAGTCTTGGCCTATTTAAATCCCATTATCAAGGAACTCTTGTCTGACTGTTGTTCCAGCTAGTAACAGTTTCGTTCAACATCTCAGCATTTTCCTAGTTCATGGTCATTTCCATCATTCATTGTACCTACAACAAGCTGCCAGTAACTTTTAGCAAAATGAACTTTTTTTTTTTTTTTTTGAATTCGAAAACCCAATAATTTAACACACATCACATTCGCTGAGATTACTAATTGGCACGGTGACAACTAAAGTAGTATTACCATGCAACCAACGCTGGCAGAGGTGTGAAACCTAATGGGGGCATAGTGAGAGACTTGCCATGAGTTGCGGACCTCGAACTGATGCCGCTAGACAGGATGCATGGACACGATGCATAGTTAGTTCTTACTTTAAAAATGACCCTTGCAAGTAGACTAATTCGGTTTTAACCACTTACTTTAGAAATATTCATAATTTCTACTAATTAATTTTTACTTCCTTTTATGTGTCTTTAATTATTTATTTTTTTATAATATTTTTTTCTTCTATTCATAGGTAACTGCTAAAAAACTTTTTTTTTGGATAGAACTATTAAATAGATAATTGTTTTTTCTAGGTTGCAGGTCACAGACTTTCATATGATAGTTTAGCTGAAATAAGAAATAGAATGGAGCAAATAGCCCCACATCTTACCCAATATAATGAAGTAGAAGATTCTAACTATCTAGCTCAAAGTTCTGAACTTAGTTTTGTAAGTATACCAGCAAAAAGTACTATCACATTCCGTTTGACAAGTTCTCAGTTTGTAAAATTTTTTAGTTATTCTTTAAACAAAATCTATTGAACCTCACAATAATGAATTAAAACTTGCTAAACATTTTGCAGTATATTTTCTGGTATTTATTAGTTATCTTTTTAGTTACCCCAGCATAAATAATTTTTTATAATAACACGAATTTTCTATAATTATAGAATTAACTCTAATATAATTTCTAAAGAAGTTAGTGTAACTCACAGAATCTTATCAGAATGCAAAAAAAAAAGTCATGTTTAAAAAAAATCCATTTTTTTCCTTCGATTAATTTATTTAGAGATTTTATTTATATTTTTCTAAATATAACTGTTAAGTATCATAGGTTATTCTAGTTATTAAATGTCGATAATTTCTTTGGCGATCTTTATCAGAATAGTTATTTTAGAAAGTATATTCACAGCTTATATAGCTTATGCACATTTAAATGTAAATTTTAATTATTATGTAATTAATAATTGACTCCTTTGTAGTGCAAATGAAATGCACAAATTTCAATTGCTGTTTTCCTGACTTTCTGGCCTCCTGTCAGTTAATGATTATTTAAATTGCTTTATTATAAAAAAAATTAGAGTGATAAATATCAGTTTCATGATTAAATGTTAAAAGGTACAAAATATGTAAGGCCAAAATTGTTTTAACTGGTAGTATAATGTCAAAAATACTTTATAAAACTCATAATATTTATAATTTAAAAACAAAAGCAAAAATTATGTATCTTAAACTATGTACCATAATAAGAAGAACAAGTAAGAAAAGTTTTCAAACGTTAACTTATTAGTTACAAAGAAAAAGTATAATAAGTTGCTCTTTTAGCATTGCTCCTATTTCATTTATTCTTTTTTCTCACTGAAAAATATTTTTGATGGAAGAAAAGAAAATGACATTTTTATACAATCATTATTCCTTCTTTTTTTCCATGTTTTTAAAATGAGTTTCCGTTCTCATCATTCCAAACATTTTGCAAAATTTATAGAACTCTGATTTTTTTTGGTAATATTATTTCCTTTCAAAAATGCCCCAAAATCAGAAACGCTTTTAACATTTTTATGAAACTGGTTTAATTTTTATGTATTTATAATTAGTTGTAAAAGTGACGTTTATGTTTCCAATGAGTGATATTTTCTTTGCACTACCTAATTTATAAAGATAACAGTCTAACTTTTAAAACTTTTTCGAAAATGCAATTTAGTTATTTTATCATTAGTGATTAATGTCAGATCTATCTTGTTTTTGAATGTACAAATTTTAACTTGTTCATAAGAATTTTATTTATTTATTTTGAAATGTTTTTGCTGACATCATTTATTTAGAGTCAAACTATAATGTACAAACTATAGCATAAAGTTCAGTTTTCTTATCATATTTTTAGTTTAATGTTTGTTGAATGATACTATATTTAAACAATTATAAAAGCAAGTAGTTTTTGACATTTTTTTCTGATTAGATTCTTAGATTTTATTTCTATACTCATACTATACAACTACAAAACTAATTAATGTTATACTCTTTTGAAAAAAGATAATTAATGTATTTTGAAGCTAAATGTTAAAGAATATTATTTATTTGTAATAAAATAGTCAAACTTGTTTTAACCATCTAAAAAAAATTTATTGATAAAATAATTTTTTTAACTGCTAACTATTCATTCAACAATATGACTATTCACTATTATTTCAACAATAATAACATCTATATCATTTTGTATTTAAAATTCATAATCCTTTTATCCTGCCAAAGGATTGTGCGTGTAAAAATCTCACTTTATTTTTGATCTGCAAATGGTCCTTCACTTAGAAAAAGTCTGTTTTTTTGGCTAAGGCGCCCACTTATCTAGCATTAAATAGGAGAAATATGACCCTTTATTACACAGTTTTCTGTTTGGAAGGGGGGAGGGAATCAGCCTTAACCTCATGGCTAGCCTAAATGAATAACTGAGTAATTTATATTTTTGAAAAAGCTATTACACATAACATACAGACAATAAATGAAGCACAAAATTGAAGAAAATATATCAAGTTCTTTTTTGTTCTAGTTTCAAATGTTTGATGTGTGGCTATTTTGTTTCAATCCAATCTGCAATTAAAGTTGGCTCTTAACATATTGTACATCAGCCTTATTAATTGTTTCTAATGCTTCCAGTGTTTGCAGCAATGGATGCTCATAAACTGTTTCTTTAAATAACCTCATTGCATAAGATCCCGGGATCTTGCCTGCATGCTCAAGACTGTTTATATACCATCAATGCTGAAAGCAATGCAAAGAATTTAATACTCTGGCAGTCCTGCATTTAGAAGTCATAATTTTTTTTATCCTCCCAAATGTGTGTGCATGTAAAAACCTCACTTCATTTTCAATCAGCAAACAGTCCTTTACTTAAAAAAAAAAAATCCTGTTTTTTTTTTTTTTTTCATNTTTTTTTTTTTTTTTTTTTTCCGTTTTGTGCTGAAGCACCCAACTATCTAACATTAGATAGGAGAAATAGGCCCATCATACCTCAGTTTTCTGATTAGAGGGGGAGGAATCAGCCTAAACTTCAGTGGTATAAAAAGTTTGTACATGAACACAGTAAGCATATTTATAAAACAGTGTAACACTAACAACTTTTGACAGTGTAAAACTTTAGAATATCTGGAATAAACTTAATCACAGATAAGATGCTTGTTGTGTAACTAAAGGATCACACATCAAAGAAAAAAATTGGCATTTTTTCAAATTTTATTTATTTATTTGTATCATATTTTTATGTGTGAAATAGTTTTAAAATTATCAATATTTAATTTCCAGTATTTTATTTCTGCAAATCCTACATCATAATCCGAATATTCATTAGCAATCGGAATTAATCTTTGAAATTTTTTTTTGTAAGATGTATTAATATGTTGCTAAATTATTTATTTAAATTTGATATATCATCCGTTATGCTAATAATTTGTAAAAAAGAATACTACTTTTTTTTTTAGAATTTATTTTTAAAAATTTTATATTAAATAATATTATACTTCCTTAGATTGCAGGTGCATTTCTATCTATTTATGATTTTTTTTTCTTCCTAGAATAAAACCATTCAATTGGAGTCAAATCCTCTGGATACCACGTTAAAGTTTTTGAAAGATTTTTATATGACTGATTCTATTAGTAGAGCCTCTGCAACTATGGCTAAATGTGTTCAAGCAGCTGAAAAACTAGATGCTACTTCTTGAATTCTTAATATTCAGTTTAATTTATGTACCTTCTTGTATTGACCTAGACTTCCTGTAAGTTTAGAAAAATATCCTTATTCATATACTGTTGTAATATAATTTTACATTGGAAATTAAATGTTTTATTGATCCTATTAAAAATATTCTTAGTGTAATTGATTATTTGTCTATCATTTAGTTTGCCAAGTGACTATTGTATAATGGAAAAAGTAGTTTTTAACAGAGGCATTTCTTTTCAATAGAAGTTTTTTTTTTCAAAGAAAAAAAAAGAGAGAGAAAGAAAACTAATTTTTTGCTGTAAGATGTTACAAAATTTCAGGAAAACTTATTAAATTTGAATAAACATGCAAAAAAATGAGTTTGTTACCTTTGAAACTTCAATGTAATCTATCTAGATTATTAAAGAATATTTTTAAGAAATGTGTGATAGTTATATTATTTGGTATGTAATTTTGTTTCCCTTTATTATGCAATCATTATATGGTTGCTTAGGGTAATCCTAATATTGGCTTTTGCTGTAATATATTGAAAGACCCATATTCTCACTTGATGCATATACTAATTAAATTTGTATACTTTTACAAAATGTAGAAGTATTACAGGGTTTATAGTTGTCCTGATTTACCTGTTAAAAATATTTTTATCTTATTTATTCTGATTTTTAGCTTTTTGTTTTGATATTCCTGATTTTTAAGTGTGTTTAGAACATCCCATGAACGTGAGTGTTATGAATACAATTGTGAACAAATTATGAATACAAATGTGAATTCTAAACTAATCTACTTGAAAAATTGGAAGATAAGGATTTGGTTTATTGTCCTGGTATATGGACACTGTTTTTCTTTTTCTAAGAACTGATCATAATTATAGTAATATGTTCAGTAATACCTATATTTCTAAGTTAGAGGTGTAAAAATTTATCATGATTTTTTTTTTTAAAAAAAAGCAGATATTAAATAATAAAATTAATAAATTAAATTGAATTGTTTCTTAACTGCTAAATTTCAATTCCAATTTATGTATGTATTTTCAAGTAATAGCAAAGTAATTGTAGCAAAGTTTAGTTTTAATTGTCCAATTGCTATAAAAACTATTCACACAGTATGATTCAAAAGTTGACATTTGTATGATTTTACTATTTAATTTCTAACGTTTCGTGCTAGCTAATTTTAACCAATTATTTATCTATCGCTTTTAACTTAAGTAATAGATAAATTTAACAAAGAAAAGCATTTATATGTCGTAGCTTAACATAAGAATAATGAGGTTGAACTGAGTTAAACATTGAGATATTATAATATAATAACCATCGTTGAACAGCCGGCCCAATTTTTGCGGTTTGCGACTACTAATGTTCAACTCTGTAGCCTTGTAATTTTCAACCCAATCCAGAAGACAAGGGAACTCCTGAACCAAGTATAGGGGAGAAATTTGTCTTCATCTAAGACTTTTTGATGGAACTAACACGTATTTGCGTTACATAGATAGGAAAACCACGAAAATCTCCCATGGTCAGTCTGATGACAAGGGGACTAACCTATGATCCAAAACCACTGAGGATATTTGACATCAGCACTGTGGTGTATGCAGAATTCATATCGATGAGCCATTGTTGGGATTTTATCCTGGTTCACCTCATTGAAAGGCAACGCTTTATCCCATGACCCATCACAGCTCAAAAACATTGAGATGTGAAATTTAACTTGTGTAACATTGCAACAGTTTAAAATTTTTCAAGAGAACTGTATCATTTGATTTTTATTTCTTTCTATTTTGGTTTGCTTTATTTTTGGTTAGCTTCAAGTTTGTTTTGGTTTTCTATTATTGCTCATAATTAAAGCTTTCAAAAATAGTGTCAAATGTATAATAAAAAACATTACATTACTTCAAAATTGAAAGCCTAGTATATTTTTGAATAATGCAAGTTCGGGAAATATTTATTTCTCTAAATAATCATCTTTGTAAACCATTCACTTTCATAATCAATATTACGAAAAAATCATAAATCAATGTTTCCCTATAAAATAATTTAATTTTATTTATTATTAAGTTCTTGCATGTATCATGGTTTATTGAACTGAATAAAGTGGCAGCATTTCTGATAGTTTCAATCATAGTAAATAACAATTATGTTATGTAAATGTTTAATTAAACTATTATGTGATTTTTATCAAGGTTGCTGCAGCATATGGTTAAAAATATTTCCGGAGATTAAACATGTTTTAAGTAGGGGTTGTTTTCTGTCTTCAAGCTAATAATTTTATTGAGTTCTTAAAATGAGGCTCTTTATATCTTAAGTGCATTCTATTATGTTTCACAACAAAGAATTGATAATAATAATTGTCTAAACAAAACTTTTATCTTGATTTAAAATTAAGCTCTGAAAATGGACAAAAGAACCTACAACTTTCTTAAATAGTTTTTAACACATTGTTGACCGAGTTTACTCATCTATTATCTATTTAGATTTAGAAAACCCAGGACAATATAGAATATTCAAAAATTTCATTTCATTCCATTCAGTATAAATAAAATTTATTGGAGTTTATTTTTATTGTTTTACTTTTCCATATTCAATTACAAAATACTTGCTAGTGACGTGACAAAGTTTCTGTGTAAAATTGCCTGTAAACAAGGTGTTAAAATTATACTCATATAAAAATGTTTGGAAGGTGGTAAAAGAATTTAGTAGGGTGACACTTTCAATTGAAAAAAAACTACAAAATTATGTTATAAAAAGAACCACTTTTTTGTAGAAACAGTATGGAGCAGGTTGGAGATAAAGCAACTGAGGCCTGTTCAGATATTTCAGTTGAAATAGTCTGACATTCTTCAAATAAACTATGATTTTCAGTTAGCAGTTTCTTCTGTTGACAAACTTTGTAACTAATCTTCGATATTAGTGAGAATAATTATTCTACTTTCCTAAAAAGAAGCACGCCGTTCATCAAAATTTTTTTTTTCATAGATTTTTCAAAATTTATGTTTTTTTTGAGACATGAAGTAGTATAATGTAATTGTTTTTTTACTCCTTTTATTTACTTATTTTTTTAATTGATTTTACAAATCCTTTGTTAATTTTGGATGCCAGGTAATTTAAATTTTAGTGGCTTTCTATCGTCTTCCACTTTTTGATTGTTATTTCAAATCCTTTGTTATTTTTTGAAGTGATTTGAATGTAATTAGTTTTCTATTGGTTTCCATTATTTTTATTGATTTTTCAAATCCTTTGCTATTTTGGGGGTACTAGGTTTAGTTGTAATTGGTTTTCTATCTCTTCAATTGATTTTTTAAATATTTTTTTAATTTTGTGATGCCAGGTAATTTAAATGTAATTGGTTTACTATTGTTTTCACTTTTTAATTGTTTTTTCAAATTTTTTGTTGTTTTGAAACACCAGGTTATTTGAATGTAATTGGTTTTCTATCCCCTTCCATTTTTTAATTGACTTTCCAAATCTTTTTATTCTTGGGTCACTGCGTAATTTGAATGTAATTATTTTTCTATGAATAGTAGGTGAATGCATTTTTTGCTGTGAACTCACAATGAAGGCCATTTATAACAACTAAAAGTTTTTCTTCGTTTTAAATATGATCAAGAAGGAATTATGGGGCATTTCATACATTTATGGAGGAAGGAATTTGTTTGAGATAACAAACCTTACGAAAATTTAAAAAAATTCAACTCATAAATGAAGAGTTGAATGAAAGAATGTATTTAGCATCATTTAAGTAAAATGAAAAATAATTAAATTTATACAAAAGTTTCTTCTTTTCAATTTTTTAATAATAATTTAATTAAAGGAATATGCTCAACATCGAACCCACAAATTATCTTTTCATAACTTTATAGAATATCTCTAACCTATAACTAAAAACTCTTGAATTTACCTCGTAGATTTTATAAGTTTCTCCTAGTTTCCTGATTTATTAATATAAGAAAATCTTAGAATAAAAGGAAAATTTACGTAAATTACGGATTGCTTCAAAATCTAAACTATTAAAACTAATAAATTATGTCTCATTAGAAGTTTTAAAATTTTCTTTAAACTCCTTATTTTTTATTTTTTTTAATGCGTCAAATAAATTTTTTCTGATGATTGAACTCATTGTAAACAAGGGTCTACCCTTGTTTACAATGAGTTCTTGTTTACAAAATGTTTAAGTCGATTTGTTTGAAAATGGAATAAGTCCATTTGGAGCTATCAATCGTTTGTTTCTTTTTTTACGTTTTTAATACTAATATCGCATTTTTAAAGTTTTATCAAATTATAGTGAATGCAAACATTTTTCTTTAACGTTTGCTAATATTTTTAGATACATTCAAAAGCTAACCTTAAAATATTTCGATACAGGAAGAATAGACTTATTCCACTTTCGAAAATAACGGCTCGTTTCTAGACTTGCATTCCATAATATGATGGAAAATTCCCCCGGTATATTATCAAAGAAAGAATATATATTAAAGCGTAGGAAAAGTTCACTTCCATTAAATTGAAAAATACGTTTTGCAAATTTAATTTATATTTGCTTTTAAATTTATAAAAATTGTGCTTGAGTAAGATTATCTTCAGCCCTCTATTAAATATTTAAGAAAATTAACTAACAAAAGTAAAATTATATAAACATTCACTTTATAACCTGCATGATCTTAATTTAGTAAATCTGGATGTATGTAATAATTATGAATGCTAATACTTAATTTTTTTTTAAAAATTTCATAGCTCGTGAAGATGCTTTTTACACTGATTTGCTCCTCTCAGCCATAATAGTTTTCCTTGCTCGATTTTCTCATCTTCATTTTATTCTCTCTCGGCTACTGAGATTTTTTGTTGGCAACTTAACATTTTATGATTCAAATCACTTTTGTTTCTTCTCATTCACGTTTGGTGAGTCTTGAAAATGGAAGCCTATTTTTGAGTGCTTGAAACATGTCAACTGATATTTCCAATCAGCATAGTTTTGAAGCGACTGAAGTTTTTTTTTTATCAAGTGATATCTTACCGTTGGGGCTGGATAGACTGGCTGGTATGACGTTGGACTGGTGTTCGGGAGTTTGAATCCAGCTGGCTGAAGACTCCCCATCTATTCAATAGTGACTGGTGCTCGTTAAATCTGTCGAGGTCACAAAGTCCTTCAAGTTCACATAACAAATTAATAGCTCAGAGGGTACTGATCTAGGAGTTCCCTTGTAATTTAGATTGGGTTTAAAATAACTAGGTTACGGAGTTGAACATTGATAGCCGTGAACTCAAATTTGGATCGGCTGTTCAACCTCGCGTATAAAATATTTTACCGTTTCAGTTTCTTGGGCTTATTTATTTAATTATAAATGTAGTTATATTATAGTGATCTCCATGAAAAAAAAAACAATGTTCCCTAAGTAACTGATCCCAAAAGTCGAAATAAAAAAATTAAAAG